CACATGCACGCCCCCTTTTTTCCTCTGCTCTGTGCCTCAGACATAATAATCAGCTGTGATGACGCCGAGTATTTCCCTCTCTCGCTTCAAACAACTCGGCTCAATACGAGCAGACTCGCTAATGGCTGAATATTAAAAGAAAAATCAATGTTCCCTAAGATAGACCACAATATCTTTGATCAAAAAAAAAAACAACAGGAACATTTTGTCCAAAGGTTTTTCTATTGGAACACTGTGAAATTTCAGGGTTTTTTGTTTTTTTTTGCTCTATCAAATAATGCAGACAATTTGTCAGAGATGGCCACATTAATTTTTGCCTCCAACACCGTGATGTTAGCTTACAGGCACTGATACTGTGCTCAGAAAGTCTTTAAACTGTCATACACGAGCCGACAAGAGACACATTCTTCCAAATACGGGACTTTTCAGCTGATAATAGAGGAAATGCTATTTGCCAAGAGCTTTGATCTACACCACAGTATCATGACAGAGCTGAAGAAGCCAGCTGAACTAATTCTTCTGGCAGAGACGTGGTCTTTCAGATTATTCAAGAGTGGGCATTTGAAATAGCTGCCATGATAGTCCGAGTCCTACTCTTCATGCTGGCAGGATGCTGAATTCACCTCAAGGTGTTTGTGAGCACCAATAACACAATAAAGTGTAGCTTGTTGGATGCAAGCAGTATGTGTTACAAATAAGAGGGGGTGGTGAGATGCATATAAATATCTTGTGTTTTTGTGAGCTAGAAAGGTTGCTCTGAAGTCTCACGCTGCACCACTCAACACTGCATCGACATCTGCCGGTTGCCCTTATCTCAATTTAATTAAAAACGTGACCCAAAGAAACACCAGCAGGTACCGAGGAAGTCACTGTGACATTTTATAAAGCGATTGCAGGTTAATTGGCAACACTTTGCAATCAGCACTTTGGGCTCTCTGATCATAATTATTAAGCATTTTATGTGTTTTTAAACACGCTTCACACGCAAAAAAAAATGATATGATCCTGGAAGTTAATAAGAGCAGTTACAAATTTCAAAATCACAGCTAAGAAAACATCCATGGTCTTGTTAGCAATTTGCTGCCACCTCCATTAGTCTCTTCTTTTGTCACAAAGAGGTGACATACAGGTTTAGCCACTCCCTGCATGAGTCTACTCAAACACCAACCAGAACAAGTGTTTTATGGCCATGGCGGAGAAATGAGGAGAAGGCTTGATAGCTGCAGCCTTCAGGGACACTACTTTGTAGTTATATACACAGTTTAACACAGGGTCTGTTTTGTATTGGTGTAAACAGCCTTTCAGCAAATATAGGCTGAATAATAGCCTTAGGTAAATGCATTAAAATCATATGCTAATTAGCAATGTGTCCATCTAGCTTTTGTTTATTTAACCATGAGAAGCTGCTGGCTCCGGGTTACAGCATGCTAGTCTGATTAAAGCTATAATACTGAAGAGATATGTCAAGTTAGAGGTGTCACGATAGCTGTGTACTGCATGATATTTGAAACTAAAAGATAAGTGCCATTGATGTACATATAATGTAACTACTTTTTTGTATAAATTTGTAAAGCCCAGTTCAATTATTCCATTTTATTTTATTTCATTTTATTTAAATGTCACCAAATCTCAACAAACGTCACCTCAAGCCTCTGCATATTGCAAAGTAGCCTTAACTGGGGATTTACAGCTCTGTGGTAAATTTACACCATAGGTACACTGTAACTGCAAAACCCTCTGAAACTCTGCGCCTTAACCTCACGTGCACCACACCAGAAACTGTCGATTCTTCCCGTGCATTTCTGGATACTTCTTCACCACTGTTTTTGAATTGATTAGTAGAGAACAGCAATCAATGCCTCATATATAAGAAAAGATATTTACAGTACCAGTACAAGGACTCACATGTGTCAGCAAATTCCGAGGGACATTCACAAAAATCAGAATAGATGTGAGGCAAAGTACAAAGATGTGGAAAAACTTGAGGGACAAATGTGTTTCTCTAAGAAAAAAAAATGACCACAACAAAGAGCGAGGACCCAGAAGGCAAGAGAGTGCCAGCTTTCTATTTATTGTATTGTTGCTGGCACTGCATATGAAACATGACCACACAGTAATTAACACATAGAAATGGCCCCGAAGAGAAAACCCCAACCATCAGACAATTACCACATCCGTCAGCAACACTTGGGGATAGTGGGGAGGAAGAACTCCCTTTTGACAGGGAGAAACCTCCAGCAGAACCAGGGTGGGGCGGCCATCTGCCGAGACCAATTGGCGGTGAGGGGAGGACAACAGGACAAAAGACACACTGTGGAAATGCAAAGTGGTGTATAAACATACAGAGTGAAGAAGAAACACTGCATTGTGGGAAGGCTCCAGCAGCCTAGGCCGTAGGCAGCGTAACTAAGGGAAGATTTAGAGTCACCTGATCTAACCTTAACTATACGCTTTATCGAAAAGGAAAGTTTTAAGCCTGATCTTAAAAAAAAAGAGAGTTAATGAACAATATTAAGGTTTAACTAGGATGAATTCTCTACACATGTGGCTACATTATCATTTTTGTGAAGCCAAATGCTGACATCAGGAGAGCCCCGAGTTGAAATAATTGATTACATCTGCGGAAAATTGATTTTTCCATCTTTTCCTCCATTAATGGACTGAAACCAGTGCCCAAAAATCACTAATAAACCTAACTGTGGATTTGGGGAATTATTGCGATTTTACAGTTACCCGGCCGGTAACTGTAAAATCTATGAATGTGTTATTCAGTTGGTTACAAAAAGCACATCCATGAAATTTAGTCAATCTTTTGAGAGTCTTGATGAAGCGTCGAGTCCATTTATTACGGAGTTTATTCCATGACAGCAAAGCGGGGGAGAGAGATCATTAAATGCTTCCGCTTTCTCAGACTGAGACGGGGGGAGATGCGATGGAAAAAAACAACGCTTCACCTGTGCAGCACCGCTTTTGTTTAACCAGATTAAATGTCCCTCTGTGTAAAGACACCAACCTGGTGGAGGCCATCATCCATATTAATGCCACCTGCAACCCAACGCCAGTGAAAGTTGCTTATTGTGGAGTGTCTCTTTGACCCCTCTAGGAACTTCAAACACACACACACACACACACAGTGAGGAAAGCTATCAGCCTAATGGAAAAGTAAAAGTGCTGCTAGGGTTGACTGATGCAAAGCAAACACAGAGAGACAGATAGGACAAGACAAGAGAAAGGTGGGATACACACAGGACATTCACACACATATACTCACACACACAGCCTGGAGAGGTAATAAAGGCAGTGTACTGTGCACACAACCACCCATGCAGACCACACCTCACTCACTCACTCACACACCAGAATTCACTGACTTACATTAGCACACAGGTACACACACATACACGCTAGGTGCTCTCCCAAGGCAAAACCCAGTGTCTCACATCTATCTCAGAAGATATGTGTAAGTTTAGCTTTGCCGTGCCTTACTCTTCATGAACACCTGGAGGTTATTTAACCTGGATTATGTACTGCTTGCATATACGGGCCAGATACTGAAATCCATGGCTCCTAAACATGCACAGAGTCACCCCACCAGCTGTGATGTTTCACCTTTATTGTCCGGCTGAACAGACAGCTACATGTCTTCAGGTTATTATAGAAAACCTAGTCTAATAGCTGCTGTAATGGAGGTTATAATGTTCAGGTTTTTATCAAAGTGTGTGTAGAAGTGTGCCAGTTCAACTGTGTGGTCACTTTGGAGGAGGCAGTTTGGGTTCCTTTGCACTGCCTTATACTGAGAGGTGCTTCTATTAATACCAATATCAATTATCTTCTTTATTGATTAATCTGGCAGGTCATTTCTCAAGTAATCGTCTGATCCATAACACCAGACCTGAGCTGGCCAGTTGGAGAGGTGATGTCTTTATGCTGTTGCCCAAGTCAAGAACTCAAACCTTTTATAATATGTTAGGAAAAGGAGAAAGCAGCAAATTCCCATATTTGTTTCCCACTAAATATTATTTTTCATTATTGATTAACCTGCTGAAGTTTGGACTGTCACAGCATCTAGTGACTTTATCCGGACAGCATTCCGGGACAAGGACGTGAAAAAGAGAATTTTGAGGAACTTTAAGATTTTTAAACTAGAAAAGTCAGAATATTTAATATCTCCTTTCATCTCCAACCTCTAATATTTAACCCTCTCTGATAGGCAAGAGGTGGACAGAATATGAGCCACATAAAGATAAATCTCTGGAGATTCACCGCAGGGCTGATAGACCGCGTTGCATCGGCTAAAATTACTGTAAAAATGTTTTAACAAGGGGGAATCTGTGCAGCACAAAGTCTAAAATCAGAAGAAGAAATTTGTTTTAAAGACGCCGCTTTAAAAGAAAATCTCCTCCTGACAGCACAGTGCACGTAGAGCTTTAACCCGGCGTTAATCTGCACACTTCCTGATCTCTACCTAGTTATCGGAGCAGCAGCAGCTTGTGCTGACGTGCTCTATAGGCTAACCCCCACCACCACCGGTACCTCCACCTCCCCCGGCCCTGCGAGACAGGCCAGCAGCCTTATATTAATTACAACCCCCCCCTGTATGCTTGATTCCGCTGTCACATCAGCCGGCACCGGCACCGTGAAGTAGTGAGCTGGGCTGCCTGGTGCAGACGCGCTCCGAGCCCCGGCACAGCGGGAGGTCTGTGTACGCCGACCAGCCAGGGAGTGAGCGAGCCAGCCAGCCCCGCTACCCCGCTGCCCTTGTCCACACTCATCTCCAACCAAATCAATGCCTCGCCACTGATACAAGCAGGCCTTTTTCCCCTTTTTTTCTTTAAAAAAACTAATTCCTCTCCGCATCGTGCAGCCGCAACCCCCCCGAGCCCCCAGAAAGGAAGAAAAGAGGCTCAACAGCGCCGAACCACAGCGCTCCATCTTCGCTTTGTCCTGGAAGAAAACCTCCACACGGACACAAAAAAGCAGTCGAGGAAAGGAAATCCTACCTTTCGACTCAACGCTGTCCCCGAGTAGAAGTAGTAGGCTATCCCCAGCACCCACAGCACAGCAAAGCACAACAATATCCTTGATTTCCTCCGCATGGCTGCCTGGTTTTTGCGTCCCCCCGCCCGTGTGTGCGCTTCGCGGCTCCCCCTGCTCGGCTCTCCTTTCGGCTGTGAGCGGCGGCTTGTCCCGGTCTGCTGTGTCCGTGCAGGGCGCTTCGCCGAGCGGCTTCGGCAGGCTTCGTCAGTCGATCAGGCGGAGCGGAGCGAGCAGGAAGCAGCAAGCAAACATCAGCGAGGTTAGAGGGCAAAGGCTAGCCGACTCTAATCCAATCAAAACACCGGCCTGGAAGAGGGCCGGAGCCGTCAGCGAGTCAAGCTGTACCGAGCGGTTCCTTACTGAAACCGAGAAACAGGGGCTGGATAGTCCCCGAAGGAAATGACTTGTAAACGTTCAGTTATGTGTCTGTGGGAGCTGTGAGAGAGGACGTGTGATCATCGTGATTTCACTCTGTGTGGAGCCGCATACGCTCTAAGGAGTCGGTAGGGGCGCCAGAGATATCCTCCCTGTTGCAAACCGGGTATAAAAACTGAAAACGAAAGCTTCCCGTTTAAACCTTTCATTGCCCTGACATGAACTGACCCATTAAAGGTAGAGACGAATTAAACAGCGCAGAGGTTTTGTTTGTTTGTTTGTTTGCTTGTTTGTTTTTGGGGGGTTTGAAGAGTTACTTCTTTTCCATGTCTCCTTCCTGCCCATGATGTTGCACATCGGAATAGGTTTATTTCAGTAAAAAGATCTGGGACAGCAAAGGAACAATGAGAACTGCATCCATTCCTTTAGATTGGTGTGAAATCCATAAAAATGAATCCCACAGTGGAACCTTTTGTGTCATTTCTCACTCATATTCGTATTTAATCTAATGAATGGTCAGAAAATAACAATACTGAGCTATTTTACTGTAAAATTAATTATTAATAATATTTTTTTCCATTAAAAATGCCAGACTTCTTCCCTTTGTAAACTTAAACTGTAACTATTTACTGCTTTTCCATCACTTGTATCCTAAAGCAAAAATCTTGAGTTCCTCAACATGTGGAGCCACTTTACAATATTGAAGTGGTTAAGATCTTCCTACCTTTGATCCTCCCAGGAACATTAAAGTTCATAATTGACGCCTCTTGGTCTAACAATAGGTTTTTGATTTTGAACTGCAGACAAACAATCAATTAATCCACTGATTAATCAATAAAGAGATTAATGAGTTTAAGTAGAACATTAAAGCAGACAGTCACAGTCATTCTAAGCTTGTTAGCTGTGTCTTACCTCTGTGCTCAGACCAGTCTGGATGTAGCTGGTTGGTCCTGATAAGCTGTTGAAGTTAAAATCTGGTGTTTGAAAACAACTTATCGGTTCTTTTAAATCAGTAATCAGTGCTCATAGTGGCCTGGCTGCTTCCCAAAGGACATGTACTATAAATATAAATATGTCGATGGAAACCTCAGATGCCTGTCTGCATTCATAAAGTGACTAACTATCACATCATCCATGCATTCAGTGACAAAAGATAAATCATGCTTAACTGGTTTTATTGAAAAACCTAATAAATTTTGTCTCCTGTATTAGCCAGAGTTTCTTTTCCCCCCCCCTGCAAGGGCAGGAAAAGCAGGAAAGACTAATTTATTTTCTTCCTCGTTTAAGGAGCGGAGGTATTGTGCAGCTAATGCATGTGCATGTGTCCTAGAGGAACTTGACCTCATCCATCCACTCATGCATCCATTCATCCGTCTTATTATTTTGTAAGCACGATTCATGTACAGTATGATTTTCAGTATGGCCTTTCTTAAATAGGAAGAACAATTTCAATCTTTTATATTTTCCTTTTTTGCATGTCAGATATTCTGAAATGGTAAATGTATTGGTTCCCATGTTGCACTTTTCTAATCTACTTGAGCACTTAGAGCACTTTATACAACATGCCTCATTCACAAGCTCTTCTGAGCGGCTGCACCAAGCCCAGCAAGACGAATAAGGGTTTTGTGAGGCATGCAAAGCTGCTTTAGTAGAGTCCAACAACAAGAATATGGATCTGGAAATGAGTATTATAGGTTCCTTTTAAATTTCCTCAAATGTGCAGTATGTCATCACCTCCCCAGTATCTTTAGACTAATGAGAGGAGCAGTGAAAAACGTGACAACGATGGAAGAAAATCGTGCGCTTAGACTCCTTTGCTCACAGTAAAACGCTTTCAGAGGCTTTAAGCAGTCGAAATCCATAAAACTGCAAAACTTTCAGACACAAAGAAAAGGAAACATTCGTCCTGCCTAAAATTGTTAACATTTTTAAAACACAGTTGAAATAGACTTTTCTATGGTCTGCAGCACTCAGACCAACTCTCTCTGACATCGAGCTCAGCTGGAACACCCCTGGCTAAACTAAAAGGTCTAGCTCATGTTCTGCGTGGTTCAATCTGCCTCTGACATTTTTCATTTTAATGGTGACAAAATGAGATTTTGACTGGAGAGCAAAATGCTTCTCGGTCCAAGAAAAGCAAAAAAAAGCAAAAAAGAAAGAGATCCTATCAATACACACACTGTGCTTTTCTCCAAAGATGTCCCAGCAGATGTCCCAGCAGTACACACAGAGACAGACGCACATGCAGAAAAACACACATTTACTCAGCGCTGCTCTCGCTATGGTGGTCTGAGAAGAGACTCGGTGTGTTTATGTTACCTACAGTAGTTTTAAAGTATGGATGGATGGAAGTCAAACTGAGAGAACGGGGAGGAGGACTAAGAAGCACAGAAACAGATGTGCTTATTTAGCAGCACTGAAGTAAAAGAGGTTTTTATGTTTTGCCCTTTTGCCTCCGATGCCCTGATTAGCTCTTATGAGAATCTCAAGTTACCCCCGAAGGGGTCAGTTTGGCTCTAGGATTTCAGATAAAGATCAGCAGCAACAAGTGACATCTTTTTGGCTTTGATCATGGCTGTGAAGCTGTTATGCAGCAAGAAAATGTCATGTCTAACTTTGTTAAATCGTGTTGTTGTCTTCTTGGTCTTATTTTTTTTAAAGGCCTGTGCAGCAGCCATTAAACAAGAACAAGTGTGGTGTATTTTATCATTTTATGTTATGATAATATATATACACAGGAACTTAATTATATGCTAATTACAGTCTGTTTTGGCTTTTGGATTAAAGCTGAAATCTAAAAACTGTAATTAAAGGGTCAGTGAAACATGACGAAACCATCCGAGGGAAGTTTTTAATTTTACAAAATAAGCCACATTTAATGGGCAAATTTCCAAAGATGGCAACAATATGATAACAGGAAGTAGAATCCCAGGCTGAGACTCTGTGCAAATTTGTTAGTTAAATCTAACGTTATAAACACAGAGGAGAAAGAGTTGCACGGAGAATAACAGTCAGAGGATTAAGTGCAACCAAATTACAGCTGACTAATTTTGTTCATTGTTTCTATGATTAGAGCTCTTTTGTTTCCACAAGTTCACACCCCTGTGTTTGTTATCACTGTATAAATAAGTGCTGAATGGAGCAAACACACTGGTGTAGTTCATGGTTTAGAAAAATAAGCCTCAGATTTTAATTCACATGCCTTTAAAACCTGCTGTGAAGTGGCAGCAGAATATGAGCTCATTCACTTAAAGTGCAGGTGGTTCAACATTAGCTGAGCTGGGAGGACTGTTTAAAACTTACTGCTGCCAAGAAAAAAAGGGATTTTCTTCCCCAGGTCTGGAACATGGAGGAATGGATCCAGTTTTGAAATATCCCAGTGCAACTGCCAACTATTTGTCAGACTCAGAGATGAATTGTGCAAGTATTTTTCAAGCTGTGGTGACCGGGGACTGCTTTCTTAATGACAAAGTTTCCAGATCCATCGTACTTTACGATTAGTGTGTACCGATCCTTCAAGCTGACTTGCCAGAGATAAACTAAGGCCATCAGTTACTTTCAGTGTCAGCTGGCTCTTTGGGCATCGCTAGAGTCATTACAGAGTCTGCTTTTCTTCCAGACATATATGCAGTATTTAGACAGCGATTACACGAAAAACCTGAATGCTTGACTCCCACAGTGAGGTCACATACTGCGAGGCCATGTCGTACACCTCTTCAACTGCTTGTTAACTCAAATATCTAATTAGATAATCACACGGTTGCAACTCAGTGCGTTTAGACATGCAGACATAGTCCAGACAACCTGCTCAAGTTCAAACCAAGAATAGGAAAGAAAGGTGATGTCAGTGCCTTTTGAATGTAGGCTGTTGGTGCCAAACATGCTGGTCTGAGTATTTCAGAATCTGCTGATTTGCAGGGATTTTCCAACATAACCATCCCTAAGGTTTATGGAGATGGTTAATATCCTGTTAGCACCACTTCTCTGGGTGAAAATGCCTATTTGATTTGAAGGCCTAGTTTGCCTTGTATCAGTAGTTCAGGCAGATGGTGGTGGTGTAATAGTGTGAGGAATATTCTCTTGATAGACTTTGGGCCCCATAGTACCAATTGAGCACCATATACAGCTTGTCTGAGTATAGTTGCTGACCATATCCATCCTGTTACGACCACAGTGTACCGATCTTCCGATGCCTGCAGCAGGATGGCGTTCCATGCATCATGATTGGCATCATGGCTGTGCAGCTGACAGAGTTGCAGCAACTGTGTGATGCTGTTATGTTAGTATGTTGAATTTATGGTTCTGAAGGAAAAAGAGGGTACAACCTAACCCTAATGACCTAATGAAGCAGCTTTTGAGTGTATATTAAAATGCGGTGAATCCTACAGCGAGGCGATCCAGTGGCTGTCTTATGCTGTGGGGGTCATACAGTTAGCCTTTACTCCAGGGCGAATCATTTCTGTTCTGCACAAACACCTTTGTTCTATATATAGACCCTAAAAGCAAACTTGCTCTGACACGCTGCTGGTTTGCAAAATCTAGTGACCCACACTTTTTTTTTTAAAAGGTGCGGCCTCTTCAGACTTCATACCTCACACCTTCAGAGCTTTCAAGGAGCCAGAAGAAGTCAGAAAGAGCCAAAACAACAGCATCCAGTGTTTCTGAGAACAGCTGAAGACGTGCACGGGAAAACCTTTAACAAGCCATTTCCTGTCTCCGTTGTTACCTGCAGTTTATGCCTCATTTGTGAAGCTTTTACCGAGGAAAGCGGCACCTCAAGGGAACAAGGTTTATAAAAAAAACAATTCTCTTGATCTGCGCTGTGACACTCCTGTAAATAAAAACGTTTTCCATTTATGCCATTAACGCAGAACCTGGAAGACGGGAGTTTTCAGACTGATCGATGCATTATGAGAGGGTAAGTTCTGTACACGCAGGCACAGTGATGACGAGTCCATTTAGTACTTTTAAAAACACGTATATCTGACTACTTAGGGTTGTAAGAAAAAAAAATGTTTTCGATTAATTTCTCCCCCCAACATTTAAAAACTGAGCACTTCCAGTTTTAAGAGACATCAAAGCTCCAGATCTGTTATTCAAGCACAAGTCACAT